AAAAAAAAAAAAAAAAAAAAAACTATTGGAGATCCGGGAGCTCTCTCTTCAAAGATAAAACTGTGTGACACCTTGCCCTGACACTTTTTTTCGTATAGGCCATATGAAACGTAGCCCAGATTACGTGCGGCACAGGCACGTCGTACGGAAGGGCCGAGCGATTTTGTGTTTTAAGACATCAAATTTAGAAGCTAAAAGAAAACAACTCTTAATGGTCGCTAATGTCTGTCTCGGCGCTCCCGGAATCAAATTTAGCATATCCCAAAACCTCCCCGAGGACGACATTTTTGCCGAATCCGAGTTGTACCGGAAATGGGGGACACGGTATAAAGTTATTTTCTTGAAATTCGAACTCATGTCATGAATTTAAAGTATGGTTGGACAACTACAATGGCGGCCTTTCATGTCCCTGACTATCTCATTGAAACTTGGAAACCCTCTGCTTTGCAAGGTAGATTCTTGGATTTTTGCTCGGATATGCAAGGGGTTGCCTTGGATTTGTCAGACGAAAATTCGAAAACAGCTTCGCTAACGCTCTGCCAAGCATAATTGGCGAAAATATTATTTCTTTGCTGATGTTGACGGCAAAAATGGAGTACCTCATTGGTCGTGTTCGGGATGCCTTCAGGCGGACGTTATACGGTGGAAGGATGGACGGGCGGGCCGACGGACGGCCAGGCTAGAGACGGGCGGGCAGAGGGACTTCTGTGTAATCACTCACAGTCAGCTGATAGATTTCGCTCGCTCTCGTCGGTCGCGGCTGCCGCACGCCGAATTCTGTAGCACTTGAGAAGCCCCCTTCTCCCTGTCCCCCTGACCCATGGGCCGTACAGACAGGTCATATGTACTATCATACATATGGCCTGCTGACACGAAGGACGCACACAAACAAGCGAGCGCGTTTGCTAAAAACGTCAAAGAAAAAAAATGTGCAGTCATTTTTTTGTCTGCCGCGAATTTTTTTGGAGTTGTATAGGTTTAGCAGTAGACAAAAGAAAAGAGGAAGCGAAACTATTTTTGCAAACGCTTTTTCGCGTGCGAGCTAGCCGCCGACGGTTTGCGCAATTATTTATTATTCAGGTCACCACCACACGCCGCCACCGCCGGAAATCAAGAGCTATTTTTACTTTTTATTATTCTCATCGGGGCAGACGAATTTTATTCGTTTTGTGTGTGTCCGGACGGATCCTCGAGGCGTGGGGCGTGTGTGTGTGTGAGCTGTGTTGCGTAACTTGAATGAAACAAAAATACTTTGTCATTGCAGCAGAAGCAGCGTCAGGTCAGAGTGACTGTCGCTACAAAGTGTGTTGATAAAGGTCATAGGACATACACTCTGGTGTTTAAAAGACGATAACTCTAAAACTGGTTGTCGACACGGGACAGGAGTCATGGCATACAACAGCAGGTTTGTGGGGCTTGTGGCTCAGGGGTGTTCTTCTTGGTTGGTGGAGGTGTTACGGAAATAATCACCATAACCATGTTTATTCTGTGGGAAAAGCGCGCTCACAGTCCACGAAACGCCGAGTTTTGCCATGTATATAGATTCTACAAACCATTTTTTTTTCCCTAGGCAAATCCCCCCCCCCCCCCCCCAAAAAAAAAAAAGTTAAAGAAAATGAGTAATCATAGATACACACTTTTGATTGTGAACCTTTGTTTTCTTGTGCTCCTCCTCGGCCGCACACACACACACTCACACACAGAGCAGCAGGCATGGATCGTCTGCTGCCGCCCCGCCCGCAATAACGATTCTGTTCTTCGACTTGTTTCAGGAGCTGTGCCGGAGCGCGCGGGTGAGTGAGTAGAGTTGTGCAGTCGCGCGAAACATTCCACGGAGACAGGCCGGGCCAGACCAGACCGCGTGCGAGCCGGTGGGGAAGCTGTCTGACCCACAATGGCATGCCCCCCCCTGCCTGGTACGGGCTGATAAAATGGAGAGGAAAACCCGAGGAAAGAGTGTTGGGGTGGGAGTGGGGGGTTGGGGGGCATTCAGTCGCACATCCCCCTCACCTCACGTGTGACGGTGTCACAATGTTTATTTTCCGGTGGACGCCGCGCACCTGTGGCTGGCTGGCGGGGCCGCACTTTGGACCCGCTGCTGCTGCTGCGCTGCGCCCGTCCTTATCGACTGCGACGCGTTGCCGTGACCACCGCGACACCGCGATGTGACGTCGAGATAGCATAGGAGTGCGTGCGTGCGTAAGCGAACACGTGTCGCTATTACAATATAAAAGAAAACAAAAATAAAATATTTAAGAAAAAATATCATTTTTCAAAAACCTTTTTTTGTTTTGCATTTATTTTTTGCGGTGCGCTCGTCTCGCTACGTCGTTGTCGTGTCGTTGACACGGCGAGTAGTAGTGGCGCTGGCGCGGCTGGGATCCACCACCACGGATCCACGTGGATTCCAATTTCACTTGGTTGCAGCGTGCATTGTCAGCAGCGGTGCCCAGCGCCCAGCCCAAAAAAACAAAACAAATTATAATAATAAAATAGCAGCGGCGAAGCGTTTTCTCTTTGCGTTAGCACTTGTGAGGGTAGAATATCTATTTTTTTTGTTTTTGCGATGCACAACCGGCAGTGTAGTGTACAGTCTGCTCTGCGCTCGGTTACGGCACGAGGCAGTGTTCTCCATCGCATTATGAGCGCCACGACGGCCCGTCTGCTGTGATGTAACCGATTTATTTTTACTTTACTCGTTAAACTGACGTTTGTGACTTTTTCTTTTCCCCTTCGCTTCTCCGTTTCTTTCCGCGTTGTATGCCGCTGCTGTGCACCGACCCCGAAGACGACGCGCACCATACGTACCGTGCAAAAGCGTCGGCGGACGGTGTTCTCTTGTACGGTTCGCTCTTTGCTTCTTTTTCCTACTCATTGTTTTCAATCCTGTTCGGATTAAACGTTTGGGTAGGGGATAGGGGGGGGGGGGAGCTCGACCCCCCTGCAGCGGCGGTGCCAATCCTCGTTCAGGGGGTCACTCCTCCCGGCCACCCGCAGCGCTCGTGCTTGATGGCGTGCTGATGCGATTTAAACTTGGCGCGCAACGAAATAGACGAAATAGCCTGCCGCCTTATATATATACTGCGCTGGAAAAAGGGCGAGGCAGGCGGGGAGCTTCCAGTGCATCATCACGCTAGAATAAAAGAAGCAGATGAAGACCAACATGGAACATAGCAGAATAAAGATAGAACTGGGCGCGTGCAAGGCCCGCCCCTCCGTCGTGTTCCGCCCCTAGTGGCGTGCTCCACCCCCCCC